ACCTACTGTCATCCCCAATGACCTCTGCTGCTACCACGATGCCTCCTCTTTCACTAAAGTTTCCACCGCAACCCACTAGTTTACCAGATCCACCTCCACGGCCCCTCTGTGATCCAGCAGACTGCACCTCTTGTCTTTTTGAACTACCATTATACCCATTAATAGTATGGCATCTGACCTGCAGTTTTATCAACTACATAATAATCTTCAAAAGTGAGAAAAAGAATATCCTGTCTCCCACTCGGCTTGTCTTCATGGTTTCAATCTTGCCATACTTTTCAAAGTAGCCTCTCAAATTATATTCTCCTGTGTCATTTTTGTGCCGCCAACAAACATTTTCTTCGCTGTTAACTGGGCACCCGGTTTGAACAGAACCTTCTCTAGAAACGCCTCTCTTTGATTCCACTGCACACCCATCTGCCTTGAGTGGTCAGGTCCTTCTTCAACCCAAGAGGTCAGTCACAGAACCAAGGCCCCTGAGAGGTTTTGTTGGGAGCTTTCATCCACACCCTATCTGTGCGTGTTCTACCTTTCCCAGAAGGTGCTCTTAAAATAGCATATGTAGTTTCACAAGTCAGACCACCAATAGATAGTTTCCATTGGGTCATTAACCTCCATTGTGAGACTGGACTTGCCGCTTCCATCCGGAGTTCAATATTTTGACATTTCTACTTTTTAAGCTCACATTTATTCTACTAATTGTGGGTTTCTCTATACTCGATCTTAGCCAAAAGGCCGAGAAGTGATACAATTTACACTTTTATTGTGAGTTTCTCTAAGGAACTAAAAATTTTTATAGATCTTTGAACACCTTTCCTTCTGTCCTCTGTTCTGAGCCCCTGATACACACTATGGATGAGTCCATAAGTTTTTTGAAATTAACTTAATAACCTGAGTTCATATCTTGATGCGTACCCCTGAGAAAACAATTCTCCAGTGCTACCCTGGAGAAAACAATTCTCATTCATTATCCTGCCCTTTCAAACTTTGGGGGCCCTCCTGTCTCATCTGTTCCTGGAAGCTTTTGCCTATTATTCTGGTCTACACATTGATCACTTTCTGATGTGAACTCCTATAATGTTTTCTTCCTTTTTTGTGTGTGCCTTACTTACGTAGCACCACATGTTTTAATTCTTACATGCCTTATCTATATCTTCCTCAATCTTTCAAAGGAGGTAGGTGGGTGTGAGACATAGCTACAAATCAAATACATATGGAATGAATTAAAGAGATACAGAAAAATCAAATGACAAGACATCAAATGTTCAATGCAACTTGGGATGAAATTTCCCTCAGAAGGAAATTTCCTTTGCAACTGACTTCTTATATTCTGTAGCAAAGGAGCCCTGGTGATACAACAGATTAAGCAATTGGATTGTTAACTGTGAGGGTTCAAACCCATTGGATATTCACAGGAGAAAGATGAGGAAAGATGGGGAATGATAGGGAACAGTATTTGCTTTGTCTCAATGGGTTACTGTGAGTCCTAATCAACTCAGTGGCAGTGTAGATAGGCATTCTAAGGAAGAAGTAATCACTTGATTTAATTAAGGAGGGATTGAAATAATCTGGACTGTTAGACCTGGAGAGGGAAGCACAATCAGGGCAAAGAGGGCCATTGACATCTTAGGAAAAGTATGTTAGGGTCAGGGTCAAAGTTACGCGGTCTTTATTCTGTGATAGCGTTCATCCTTAGACTCCTGGGAGACAAAACAGCCAAATCTTGAGGGCACCAAACAGAACCTCCTGGAGTGTCAACTACATTTGACCATGGGATTCACTGACGACATTCAGTGTTGAGATTTGATTAGTCCCACATGGCCTTTAGATTGGAAGGTTCTTAGGGTGGGCTGGGACAAAAAGAAGTCCGGAGGCAGAAGGGTCCAACGGAGATTATTTTACACTAATACGCAGGGAAGTCAAGGCTAAACGGTGGCAGAGAAAATGAAGAGGAAGAATCAGAACACAAAAGACATAGTGGAGAAAAATAAAGAATCTACTGACTTGGTTGGCTCACTGGGTGTTGGGAAAGAGAACAGAAAGTTAAAGGGCCCTACTTTGGGGTCACATCTTCCACTTCTCTTTGTATTAATCCATTGCTGTCAAGTGGGTTCCAACTCAGCGTGACCCTACAGACAAAGGAGAACAGTCTCGGCATTTCCAAGGTCACCTTCACAGAAGCGGGTTGCCAGATCTTTCTCTAGCAGAACAGCTGGTGGGTTTGAACCGCTGATCTCTCTGTTAGCAGCTGAGGGCTTTAGTATTGAGGCAGTAGGGCTCTTGTTTTTTTTAATTTTGTTAGACACATAGCTTTGGTGTTTGAGACTCAACTTTTCCCTCCTTTTTATTTTAAGACTGCTCAGCTCCCCACCCCCTGTAGGCCCCCGCCCTCCTACTAGTGTCCTTAAGTTCAGAGACAGGCATAGGCCAATCCAAATGTCTCGTGATTCCCCCAGAAATTTGAAATGTAGCCTGACAACCAGAGGTTGGTTCTCCTTTTGTGGGGTCCATAGGGGTTCATGTGAGAGAGAAGCTGAAAGGGTTGCTTTTCCATGAGGAGGGGGGAAAAGGCAGAAATGAGAGTGAAACAGAAAGCGGAAGTGACAAGTGAAAAATGGCAGGAGAATAAGGCTACGACTCAGTTCTTTGTGACATGTCAGCATCCCCTGTGATGTGTCCCTAGGATGGAGCTGCAGCCCTTCTCTTTAATTCTGGTGGACACCCTTATAATGCAGGAAGATATCATTTCTTTTGATGAAACGAGGCTGGCAGGGCCATTGTGACTTGTAGCCAAATTTGTCCAAACTGATACATTCCTCAACGCAAGCTCTCCTTCTCCTGTCAGATGGTTCCCTGGCTCCAATCTGAACGGCAATTTTCACTGGCTTTCAATTCGTATGTGAGCTCTACCATCAAGAAAGCCTTTCCCTGCCCAGTGCCACTGGCTCTACCGAATAAATCCTGGCTATCCCTCCGGTGTTCCATCTTTCGTTTACTTAGCTCTTTTCGAGTGACCCATAATCTCAATCAATTGGACTGCCGTGTGTCTCCCTTCAGAGTCCTGGATGACTTTTGAACTTATTAGGAGCAAGATGAAAACTTACATAAAAAGAAATTGGCAGATGGTTGTGGGCAACAAGGAATATTATGTTTTTACTACTACAAATTTAAGAAGATTCAAATAGTGGTTTAATCTACTGCTTATCTCTTCAACTCCATGGTGGGCTCAGAAAAAAACAACAGTAGGACATTTGACCAAAGTGCCTTTTTGTCGCAGGAAAACTATTAGCGGGGAGTATTGGATGAAAGAAGATCGAAATCGCTCTTTTAGAAAACCATGCATGACGCCTTATTGGCAAGGGGCTACCCGTTAGATTGTACGGCTGTCGACAGACGGTGCTGCAGCTCATCAGGGTGACCTCGATGCTGCCAGTGCTCTCTGCTTCTAAGTCAGTGCTTTCTCCACCCTGCCCACTCCACTGGAGAGACACCAAACAAAATACATCCAGTTTCCGATGATCTAATTATAAAATGCGATTTTCTGTTTGCAAATATATTTTTTACAGCCTACACCTTGATATGTGAACTGATCGTCCATTAACACTGTGACACGGTCAGGAAACAGCTTGAATCCCACACTCAGGAGGCATTACCTGCCCCCCCAAAGATGGTTCTTTTCTGAGACACCACAGAATATCGTCTGTAAAGACCTGTCCTTGCCTCCAGAGATAAGAAAAACAATCTGCTATGTCATGAAATCTCCCATCAATTCAGAATACAAAGGTATTTCCTTTGCCTTCGGCAGTCGTAGCGCTTGTTCTAGTGTCTTATCACACCTCAAGAAGGGAAAAAAACCAACATTGCCTCGTGAGAGCAATAAGAAAATGCCTAGCAAATGGATGGACACTTACGGAGCAAGATAAAGTGCCAAGCAATAGCTAATGTCTTCTTCTCACCCACTCAAAAGAATACTGTTAAGACCCAAAAGCATGTGCACCAGATTCCCCGAGTAACACAGGTTTGTGCTGTACCATTGTGCAAGCAATCTGTTGCTAAGCAGGGTGGCCATAGTGTTTACATGAAAATGGAATGATCTCTGGTGAATAATGAAAGAAAGTAATGATTTCTATAACCAGAAAAAGCATTTTTTTTTTGCACCATTCCATTTCAACGATCCTAAAACTCTGAGTTACTTCCCCAGTTATTTCCCCTGCTTTGCTGGCTCTCTATCGTCCACTTCTCTGCAGATTTCCATTACTAAACGGCAGGGTTTTTTTCCCCCCTAATGTTGTTGTTATTGTTGTTTGTGTTTTTCTGTTTGTTTGTTTACATTTTACCTTGAAACCTGGGGAGAAAACACCAGCATGAAATGACATTTTGGAACTCCCCTCCCACAGTCGCACTGTTGAAAATATCATCAAAGAATGGCCCATGATGAGCAGCTATCCGCTATGCAGTCCTCTCTCCTTCTGGAACCCAAGTCTGTGGAGGGGTTGTGCTTCTTAGAGCAGCGCTTCTCAACCTCCCTAATGCCGCAGCCCTTTAATACAGTTCCTTGTGTCGTGGTGACCCCCAACCATAAAATTATGTTTGTTGCTACTTCATAACTGTAATGTTGCTACTGTTATGAATCATCATGTAAATATCTGATATGCAAGATGTATTTTCATTGTTACAAACTGAGCATAATTAAAGCACAGTGATCAATCACAAGAACAATTTGTAATTATATATTGTGAAATGTTTATTTCTAATTACAAATAAATGACATTTTGTCTTGAAGCATGGTGTAGCATGGGTAACAGTAACTGCATGTGGGCGGACCCGCCTGGAGACGGACAGAGGAGCGGTGTCTTGGTTCCTAAGACCATCGGAAATATGTGTTTTCTGATGGTCTTAGGTGACCCCAAAGTGGTCGCGACCCACAGGTTGAGAACCACTGACCTAGAACCAAGTGTAAGCATGCTACAGAGAGAGGAGAGGAATGCAAAGACACTTACTTGCATCACAATAAGAAGGTCAAAGACCAAGATGAAAGAAGCCAGGAACGCTCTGGAAACTTCATCACTGGGCAAAAATCCCCGATTCAGCTTGTCCCAGCTGATCCAGTCAGTCGTGATGACAAGAACTACTACGGAAGTCAGAGTAAAGAGAACCGTCCTGCAAGAAACAAGCCATTTATTTTAGAATGTTAGAAATCTATAGCAAGTGTCTAACACCGGGCATCTGTAGTGAGTGCATAATGCACTCACTATATTAAATTGTATTTATATTAAAATACATTTCAGTGGAAACAAGAAATGAGAGAAAAAGAAACGGGAACATGTGGAAATGTTATCACTTAAAAGAACGCATGCCCATTTTGCCAATTAACAAATTGCTTTCGCCCAGGGTGTATCCCAAGGCATAGTTACCAAATAGAGGATGAGAAGAGAAGTACATTAAGTGCTTTCTTTCAAAAGCAATTTAAAAATGAGATAAAATGCATTTCTGCCAAATGCACTTCCCTGAAGAACATTAAGAAAATGATTATGAACAAATAATTAACAACAAAAAGATGACAAGGAACTCTGGTTAGTGTACTATGAATCCCAAAGGGAATACTGGTGGGTGGCTCGTGTTACATGGAGCTTGTTTAACTGTGGGTCACAGACATGCATGTGTAGGAGCAAAAGGTAGATGCTGAAAGGTGGGATCTTGTATCCTCTTACAGAAGAGAGGGACAGCTGGATTTCTGGGTTGGGGGCAGCGCAGAACAGGAGCGACAGGAGTCCTGGGTTTGGAGGGTGGGTGGTAAGTGGTGGGGTCACTTCTTCCTTGGTGTTGTCACAATTCCTGTTGCCTGAGGAGCTTCACAGAGGTGCCATCTCTATCTCCCAGAGGATAGTCCCTTTGCCCCATGGGACAAATAAAATAGGTGCCTCGTGGACTAGTGACCTTTTGTTATGTCTGATCTTTCTTTCTTTGCCACAAGTTATGAGAAATTTGAAATTGTGTCTTTATAGCCCTAACATCTTGCATAATTGTATGCAGGTGAAATTCAATAAATGCTTGCTGAAATGGTAACAATTATCAGGTTTTGTTTTTTGTAAAAATCAGGAAATACTTCAATTAGTCTTTGATGTTAATGTTCAATGTATATCTGAAACATGGACATTGGAAATGAAATCTGTCAGAGAATTATCTACAATACTATTGGTTTCTGTTCTTAGAGGCATATTGGTATCTGGATAGTGTTTGATTTACATATAGGAAAATTACAACAATTACATTGAAATAAATTTAATCAGAAGCAAAAGAGAAAAGAACTGGTAAGTGAAAGGGAAACACATGGAAATGCTATACTTTAAAATAATGCACACTAATTTTGGCAATTGAATTATATACATCTTCTAATAATTTACATAATATCATCATTTAAAAAATTAATATTGATCATTCTAGCATTCTCATTGTAAATTTGCACAATCTAAATTTATAAGGCGATACTTTGGGATCCCTTTTCATTAACATTTTATTTGAAGGATGGAGTACATTGTTATGAACCACTCCTCCATCTGAAGAAATTGCCTCATGAAAACCTTGTGAATCCCAGTGAACTCTTTATGAATAGGAGAGGTGAAATAGGGCTGGAAGATGGGATCCTGAGGTCAGAGGACACTGGAGGTATGACTGGGGAAGAGCTGCCTTGTCAACGTGGAGTTGACCTGAATGGCATGGATGGAATACAGTTTTCAGGGCTGATGTGGCACAACTCTAAATGAGAAGAAACAGTTGCAAAAGTTCACTACTAATAAGAGTGTGAACTACACGAGGCATGCACTAGGAAAATTGAAAGTCTTAACAAATTAGAAATACATAAAGGTAGATATTTGTGAACTGAAATGGCCTGGTATTGGCCATTTTGAATGAGATAATCACATGGTCTATTATGACAAGAATGAGAAATAGAGGAGTTCTGTCAAGGTCATCCACAAAACAATAACATTTCATAATCTATTCTGAAGTCAAAGCTGTCAGTGATAGAATACCATGTGTACACCTACAAGGAAGACCAGTTAGTGTGACTGTTATTCAGATTGACACACAACCACAAAGGCCAAATGAGAGGAAACTGATTTTTTTAAATCAACATTGGAAATCTAAAATTGGTCAGATGTGCAACAAAGGGCATTGGCATTTATGGTGATTGCAATTTGAAAGCTGGAAGCAAAGAAGGAGTTGTAATTGGAAAGCATAGCTCTGATGTTAGGAACGACAGTGGAGACTTGTGTAATAGAAGTTTGTGAGAGCAGCGGCTTGTTGGGGCACCATCAAGTTGGCTGTAGATCATGGGATCCATTTGTACAATAGGATAAAACACTGTGTGGACAGCCTCACAATTGTTGTTATGCTTGAGCCCACTGTGGTAAGCATTGTGTCAATCCATTTCATTGAGGAGTTTCCTATTTTTTGCTGGCTTTCTACTTGACTAAACATGATATCCTTTTCCATGGACTAGTCTTTCCTCTTGACATGTCCAAGTAGGTGAGTCAAAGTGTTTGTCATCCTATCTTCCAAGACTAATGGCTTATTCATTGCAAACACACTTTTTCAATGTCATGTATATACATGGGCCTCACTGGATGGAAAATATGGGGATCAAATCGACTACGTCTGTGGGGAGAGAAGCTGTAGAAACTCATTATCAGTTAGAACAAGACCAACTGCAGAATATATAGATCTTCAATTGCTCATTTTCAAGTATAAGTTTAAGCTGGAAATAAATTAAAACAATTCCATGAGGGAAAATTATCTCCTATAGTATATCCCCCCTGAATTTAAATATCACCTCAAGAACAGATTTGACACATTGAACACTAATGACTGAAAACCTGATGGGTTTGGGGATGATGTCAAAGAATCTACATTAAGAAAGTAAAAGGTTATTAAAGAAAGAAAGAAAAGCCCAATTTATGTCAGAAGAGGCTTGCTTTGAAATGTAGTGAATACTAACAAAATAAATCATGAAATAAAAGAATTGGACAGAAGTTTCCAAAGGTCAGCTCAAGAAGACAAAGAATTATAATAAAACAAAGAAATGCCTAGAATTATAAGGCCAAAAAGGATGAGTCTGCTTGACATTTCTCCATGTGAAATAAGTGGGGGGAAAATCAAGCCTCAAAATGCAATATTGAAGATTCTACAGATAAAAGATGGAAGGATGTATGAAGCATCAAATGAACATGGAAGGAATCAACAGTCACTGCATCAAAAAAACTGATGGATGAGCAGCTACTTCTGGAGAAGGTGTCTGAGGAATTGATAACATTGAAGGAAGTCCAAGCTGCAATGAAGACAGTGTTGAGAAATAAGGTTCCAGGAATCGACAGATACCAACGGAAGTGTTTCAACAAATGGATGCAACGCAGAAGAGGCTCTACTCATTGATGTCAAGAAATGTGGAAAACCTTGACAAGCAATTGAAAGAGATCTGTATTTGTGCCCATTCCAAAATTAGGTGATCTATGTGGAAAATATTGAATAATTTCATTAATATCACACATCAGTAAAACTTTGCTCAACATAATTTTAAAATGTTGCAACATTACACAGAATAGAGAACTTCCAGAAATTATGCTGGATTCAGAAGAGGCTTTGGAAGAAGTGATATAATTTCTGACATCAAATGAATCTTGGCTTAGACCAGAGAGTGCGAGAAAGATGCTTACCTTGCAAGTATTTGACTGCATGAATCATAACAAATTATGGATCACATTGGGAAGATTGGGAATTCTAACTATCTAACTGTGTGCATGTGTGACTTGTACCCAGATCAAGATCCAGACATTAGGATATAATAAGGGACATCAACTCCAAACACACTGCCATGGAACAAATCCTGACTCATTGTGAGCAGCTTGGACCTAGTAGAATGTAGGTCTCTGAAACTGTAAGCCTTTATGGAAGAATATCACATCATTCTCTAAGGAGCAAATGGTGGCTTAGAACTGTTGACCTTGCACTTAGCAAATCCCAAAACACCAGTACTCCTCATAGGAATACTGCCTGGTTCAAAAGAAGGAAAAGTGTGTGACTGGGCTGTATCCTTTCACCATGCTTATTTAATTTGTCCAGTGAACAAATAATCTGAAAAGCTGAACTAACGAAGACAAATTGGGCCTCAGGCTCGGAGGAAAGCTCATTAATAACCTGCAATATGCAGACGGCGTAGCCTTACTTGCTGAAAGCCAAGAAGACTCAACGCACTTATCTGTGCAGGTCAGAAACTACAGCGTGCAGTAGGGATTACCCCTCAAATAGAAAGAAATCAGAAATCATCAAAACTGGGCCATTAAGTGGCATCATGATAAACAGAGAAAAGATCAAGTTGTCAAAGATTTCAGGTCACCTGGATACAAATCTGTACGTATCGCACAGAGTGAGCTTGCTGAAAAGGACCTTTTGGCCATGTTAAAAAATTAAAATGATCACTTGGAAGATGATGAAGTACCTAATGAATGCCATGGTATTTTCATACGCCTCACATGCCCGTCAAAGTCAGAAAATGAATAAGGTGCAGAATCCCGAATGTACCACCAGAGTGCCAGAAAAATGAACAAATCCATCTTGGAAGAGTCAACCAGGATGCTCCTTAGAAGTAACGGTGGTAATGTTTTCTCTCACCTGTCTTGAACATGTTACAAAGAGGGAACTACTGAAACAGGACATCACCCTTGGTAAAGTGTAACGTCCTCCATGAGACCCATGCAGTAGCTGCAATGATGGGCTCAGACAGAGGAATGGTGGTGAGGGCGGCACAAGGCCAGGTGATGTTTCACTTTGTTGTACAGAATTGGACTCAACTAGATGGCACCTCACAGTCACAACATACTTTGATATATGTTGGATCTAGTGAAAACCTGATTATAGTTTTTTCTCTCTAATGATTAGAAAAAAGGAATTATTAAATCCATTGTTTGAAAATAAACTCCATTAAACATGCAGTTTATTAAAATTGCCAATTTCACAAACAAAATTTGACTCGATGCCTCCAAAATTTAAGTCACATATTATCTATAATTAGGAGTCCTGGGGGTGTAGTGTTTATGAGTTGGGCTGCAATCCACATGGTCAGCAGTTTGAAACCACCAGCAGTCTGAGGGAGAAACACTGGGCTT